TAGGAATGGTATTGTTGTCATTCCAGTGACTATTATTTTCACAACTTTGAAATCACCATTATAAGAAATTCTATTTTTACACACCTAATTAGCTCATGGCACCCACTTAATAAAATATTAATTTAATGACAATTATATCTTAAATAAAAATCACCATAATAGACATACAGTAATACCCATAATATTATATAAAAAAATTCTCTGTACACATGTTTTAGGAACAAAAAAAATTTAATATACACCTTTTGAATTAAAAAAATTAAATGTAATTTTTTTATTGTTTTCACTTTATAGTCACCAGTGATGTTTTTAAATGACTGTTAAATTTGGCTTGGTCTATTTTCTTCTGCTGTAAGTATATGAGATTGGCATAAACAGCTTTCTTATTTGTCAGTTGTTACTACTAACTTCAGTGGACTTTAATAACAGGCCTCATCTGAATGAATGTTCGGGGAGTGATTTGGATGGAGACATTTACTTTGTCTCTTGGGACTCTGATCTGATTCCTTCTCAACAAATCAAACTAATGGATTATATCCCTGCACAAAGTATGTTGTTGGATCATGACGTTACAATTGAGGTAGTACTTTCCACATCTATCTTCTATACTATTATAAAGTGAACACCTCTTATCGTGTCCTGAAGCTTTACTCTCCTCATGCCATGTGGCAGTGTTTTTTATTTTTTTAAAAAAAAGTTAAACAAAGAGATGGGAAGGTTTGAACCCATGACCATGGGTAGATACTATTATAAAGTGAACACATCTTATGGTGTCCTGAAACTTTACTCTCCTCATGCCATGTGACAGTGTTTTTTATTTTTTTAAAAAAAGTTAAACAAAGAGATGGGAAGGTTTGAACCCACCATGGATTTAAATACGAGGACTCATACCATTTAAGATAAGTACACATTATAATATTATTTTTATTTTTATTTTCTTTTATTCCTATTTATTTAAATTGCACGCGCATTGCGTGTGCGCGGCCGCTAGTATTTATATATTGCAGTAGTTTTCTTGACGTTAAAATATGCTGTTGGAATTTTTCAGACTTTAGTTTTCAAGGCTTCACCTGGGTGTGGAAGTTTTCGGACTTCAGTCTTCTAAGTTATCAAAAACGTATGTGGAAAGGAAGGGAGGGGTAAGTGGTGGGTGTACAATAATATTTGAGTGGGGATATAATTATAATTTTTAGTATGTGAATTGAAAAAATTAATCAATAAATAAATTAATAGGTGTGTATATTGAGAAAAGATATGCTTTGAGTTATTTAAGTGTATGAAAATAAAATTTCTTGTATGTTTGGCAAGGCAAATCGAAAATTTTAAAAAAATTTAAAGTTTAGAAAAACCCAAAAAGTAATGGATTTTTTTTGGCTTATTTTGACATTTTCAAAATTTTGCACATGATTTAAAATATATATATATATAAAAAATGTAACTTTTCTGAGTGTCCCCCAAACACCCTTGCGCTAACGTTTTGGACTAATGTGAATTCACCTTCTTCCTCATGAAATTCCATCTACATAAAAATGTACATAAAAAAAATTGTACTAAGGTCTCATTTGCCATATAAGTGTTTTAATGTAAAAGTTAAAAAATTATTAAAAAATAAAAAAAATCGATAACTTGTACCAAAAAATTAAATATTCATTTTTTCCTTTACTTTTTGCACATCTTTTTAAAAAATAATTAAAAAGTCATTTCAGATATACTATTTTTTTTAATCTCATATTTTAATCAAAAGTCAAAAAGTTACTAAAAAAGTCTGTTCTCAAACGAGACCTAAGTTTTTTTAATTTATAATTTGCTTATGTTACAATAAAGAATTTTTAAATCGAAATCTAGTACTTAATTGATTTAAGCAGCGTTCGAGCTAGACTCAGCACAATATTCAATCCAATCTCAAACGCAAAAAGTAAATTTAAAACTTCAATTTTAGATTTAGATTTGAAAATCAGTGGGTCTTCTTTCGGCTGATGACTCGCTATCACGGTTTTGCTTTCACTGAGTTTAGTGGCCAATGGACACATTTATTAGCCAATAAGGTGCAACCACCACCAAAATGACTTACAGATGGCTTCTCTTTTAATTTTTATACCCAAAACAATTATTACCTAACCCCCAACTCCTAAAAAAAAATAAATTAAAATATGGTCTTAAAAACATTTTTAACGGACTTTTTAACAATTAATTAGAGTAAGATATTAGTACAGAAAATTAACGTTTTATTTTTCTTCAATGCATGTGATTTCCTTATCTTATAGTCAAGTAACATTTTTGTTATTGTCATTGTTAACTGTAGTGACACAATTAGCCATGAGAGAAAAAGAAATAATATGCGCCGAGTATAATAGTTGTACAAAAATGAAAATAAATCATAAATACTTGAATTTGACTTGTGTTTCACTTTTTCAAAGGTTGTTTAATTGTAAAACTTGCATTGAAACTTGTCAATTTCTTCAACTTAGCTCAAATCTGATCTAATAAGTCTATCATATTCCTCAGAAATTGTGATCGGTTGTTTGAGATTGATTCAAAAAATAAACAATAAGTTCAAATTAGCTTAATATTTAAGAAAAAATAGTCTAAAGTCCCTCTCCCATTTTTAGTAATAGAAAAGATTCACAATATTATTTTTTGATGTTTAAGGTCTCTCACAGAGAAATTTGATATATTTCACTCTCACTCTCTCTCTCTCTCTCGTCTATCTCAACTACCAGTTCAAAACCCTAGATCTTTCTCTTTCTCATTCCCTAGATCTATCTCTCTCTGAAGTATAATCAGTAAGCTCTGCCGTGAAATGACCACCCTATTAAGTCCATCTACAATGAGTTGAAGGGGCTATAGTCTGATATCAATGGTGATCAAGCACTCCTCTAGAAGTGAGAGAGCCTGCGAGATCTTCTCTCGCCTTCTCAAAGAATGAATCATCTATATCAACGGTCCTATCTCTGACAACACTACTCATGTCATCGTCACTCAACTTCTCTACCTTAAGTCTGAGAACCCTTCAAAATCCATCAACATGTACCTCAACTCCCCGACGACGCCGTCACTGTAGGTTTATCCTTTCAATTCCTCAAAATCTTAATCTACTCTCATCTCATTTCATTACAATTACATATTTTGGCGCTGTTTGGAAAGCCCAAAAGCAACACTGTTGGAACCTTTTTCAAAACAAAAAAAAAATAATATTTTGCACAGCCGGCAGTGTAGGCACAGCCGGCAGTGTAGGCACAGCCTACACTGTCAGCTACAACACTTGTTCCATCAATAAATAAATTACCATTTTACCCCTTGATATCAATTTTGAAAAATATATATTTAGGAATAAATTTGTCATTTTAAATTTAAACATCATTTCAGCACACTTTCCAATACAACAACTCAACTAAAAATTCATCCCATCTTCCCAAACATAAAACTAAAATAGCCTACTAAAATAACCAAAAAGCCAAATAGCCTACTAAAATAGCCACTTCCCAAACGAGGCCAAAGTTCACTGTAACTCTTGGGTTGTGTGAGTTTTGATGTGTGAATTTTCTCTAGATTTTGGCCACTGTGTGAATTTTCTCTGAATTTAGCCACTATGTGAATTTTTTTCTAGATTTAGCCATTGTGTGAATTTTCTTTGAATTTTACCACTGTGTGAATTTTCTTTGGATTTTTCTACTGTGAATTTTCTCTGGTTGTTTACTATGAATTTTTTTTTGGAAAACTCAAGGATGTATTGGTTTCTTTTTGATATTTGGTTGCTTCAGTTTCTCTATTAATTTGTTTACTCGCTCAGACATTGGAAGGAAAAAAAAAAAGAAGAAGGAAAATGTGATTTTGAGTGAATTTTCTTTGGTTTAATAATGATTGGGTATATATTGATCTTGAGGTTTCTTTTTGATCAATTTTCTCTAGTTTGATCAAAAACACAAATTTTCTCTACACAATTTTCTTTGAATAAAGTCACACAAATTTTCTCTAATACAATTTTCTCTAGATAGAGCCACACAAAGCCACACAATTTTCTCAGAATTTCTCTGTGAAATCTAGAGGAAATTCGACAAGAGAAATTCTAGTCCAGAGAAAATTCGTCTAGAGCAATTCTCTGTGAACTAGAATTTCTCTGTAAAGTCTAGAGAAAATTCATGTAGAGAAATTATCTGGATCGATGTTAAGGAACCTTAGACATTATGAAAATATTGAGTGTCCTTTATACTATAAAATCTTAATACTAGGGATCTTAAAAAAAAATTTCCTAATTTTTAAAGGTTGTTTGAGGTTTATTTATTTAGCCTCCGTTTGGGAAGTGGGTTGGCTTTTTGACTTTTTGGCTTTTTTGGCTATTTTAGCCTGGGCTAAAAAGCTTGGTTTGGGAAGAGCTTTTTGACTTTTTTGACTTTTTTGTGAGAGAAGAGTGTAATGATTATGAGTTGGATGTGATATTTTGTTTGTTGTGGCTAAAATAGCATATTTTGTCTTTTGTGGCTATTTTAGCCCCAATCGTGCTTGCCAAACGGACCCTAGTACACTTTCTAATTTTTTACGAAAAAACGTAAAGAAAAATAAAGGAAGAGCTTTTTGACTTTTTTGACTTTTTTGTGAGAGAAGAGTGTAATGATTATGAGTTGGATGTGATGTTTTGTTTGTTGTGGCTAAAATAGCCTATTTTGTCTTTTGTGGCTATTTTAGCCCCAATCTTGCTTGCCAAACGGACCCTAGTATACTTTCTGATTTTTTACGAAAAAACGTAAAGAAAAATAAAAAATTGATGTGATTCAAAAAAATACACTAATTTAAAATTTAAAATTAAGTTTTAAATAATTTACAATTATGCTCGACTCCACATGTTTATAATTATAATTAATTTCTTAAAGAAACACATTTCACCTAGGCTAGGGAAAAATTTAAATAAAAGTAAAATATAAAATGTATATACGAGAAATAAATTTGATTTTCATAATTATTTTTAAAATATGTATTAATGAAGCGTATAACTGCAAATAAGCTGTGACATTTTCACAGTAACTGTAATCTGCTCTCGCTCTCTCTCTCTCGATCATTATTTCGCCCGAAAATTACCTCATTCTCGCAACAAATCTAGGGTTCATTCCCTTCGAATTTCAGATATCCACCTTCGTTTCTAGCAGATCTGGTTTTTCAACCAGCAATTCACATTCCATTACATACACATATATACGTACTCATCGATATAGTGATTTTTTTCTCTGTAAATCTCAAAAATGGTGATCCACGGACCTCTAACCCCTGGTCAAGTGAGTGATTTCGGTTTTAATGTTCGTTTTTTTCAATCGTTTTGAGCTTCTACGCAATCAGATCTTCCCCTGAGGATGTCGGTAGCAGCAAACCACGTAGATTTGAGAAGTTCTATTCATAGAATTGTTGATATTGTTTATTTGTTGTTTCACTTTTAGTCGTAATTCGAGCTTGTATACATAAAAAAAAATGGTTAATAATTCAAGCTCCAAAGCTAGTTTTTAGAACAATAGATCACATGCTTAGAATACAAGTTTATTTGTAACATTAATTTAATTAGTGATTACCAATAGAATTGTTAATGACTTTGCATTACAGTTATATCTATACTATTATCTTCTTCTATCTATCTATACTATACTATATGTGAAGGCTTGAGATGGTGTTAACACAATGTAAATTGTATAGTGAAGTGGATGGGGCTTGAACATGAACTTTGGTCTGGGAAACAATATCGGCACACAACATATATACTTTCAAATCAAAATTTAAATTTGTGTTTTACAAATTTTGACAGCACACCCATCCACTAGTAACTAAGAATGTGAAGGGTCTCATATGTATTATTAGTCATTGCAATATCGTTCATTGTTTCGTTTTGAACTTGATGTCTGTTTTGTGCTCTCTTCTTTACGAACTTTGTTAGTGTATATTCCTTTCCTTGGTTGACATAACATATTTTGTGTATCTCCCAATTTCAGGTGTCGTTTTTGCTTGGAATCATCCCAATATTTCTGGCTTGGATATATTCGGAAATTTTGGAGTACAAGAAAAATTCAGTCTTGTTCAAATCGTTAGTTAGACAGTTCTTCACCTTCAAATACCCTCTAATGTTTCTTTTATGCAGTATATGTTCTGTTACATGTTGTGAGTTTGAATTATTCTTTCAGCAATATATGTCTAGGGTTAAAATCTTTCATCTCCATGCAGCCTCTGTTTAAATTTTATTGTTAATTATTTGAATTTTTTGATAATATAAACTTCATACATTATTATTTTATATCATTTTAGAATTTTCTTTCTGAGTTCAGTGTCTTATTCACCCTCCATAATTTACTTCTCATTCTCTGGAAGTTTACTAAGATATTTTGTTTGAGTAGTTCTATACAAACAAACTTTCCTTACAAACTGATGTGTCACCTAGAATATTAGTAAGTTGGGCCTCATTTCACATTCTGTATCACTCTTGCATTACAGTTATATCTATACTATTATCTTCTTCTATCTATCTATACTATACTATATGTGAAGGCTTGAGATGGTGTTAACACAATGTAAATTGTATAGTGAAGTGGATGGGGCTTGAACATGAACTTTGGTCTGGGAAACAATATCGGCACACAACATATATACTTTCAAATCAAAATTTAAATTTGTGTTTTACAAATTTTGACAGCACACCCATCCACTAGTAACTAAGAATGTGAAGGGTCTCATATGTATTATTAGTCATTGCAATATCGTTCATTGTTTCGTTTTGAACTTGATGTCTGTTTTGTGCTCTCTTCTTTACGAACTTTGTTAGTGTATATTCCTTTCCTTGGTTGACATAACATATTTTGTGTATCTCCCAATTTCAAGTGTTGTTTTTGCTTGGAATCATCACAATATTTTTGGCTTGGATATATTTGGAAATTTTGGAGTACAAGAAAAATTCAGTCTTGTTCAAATCGTTAGTTAGACAGTTCTTCACCTTCAAATACCATCTAATGTTTCTTTTATGCAGTATATATTCTGTTACATGTTGTGAGTTTGAATTATTCTTTCAGCAATATATGTCTAGGGTTAAAATCTTTCATCTCCATGCAGCCTCTGTCTAAATTTTATTGTTAATTATTTGAATTTTTTGATAATATAAACTTCATACATTATTATTTTTTATCATTTTAGAATTTTCTTTCTGAGTTCAGGGTCTTATTCACCCTCCATAATTTACTTCTCATTCTCTGAAAGTTTTCTAAGATATTTTGTTTGAGTAGTTCTATACAAACAAACTTTCCTTACAAACTGATGTGTCACCTAGAATATTAGTAAGTTGGGCCTCATTTCACATTCCAAAGTTGTATCACTCCATGCCACATCAGTTTGTAAGAAAAGTTTGTAAATTTTTTTTGTTCGTATAGCATTTTCCATTTTGTTTACTTAGTTTTGGCATGAAATTTCTAACAAGTTTCCAATAAGCTTTGTTTGACAATTGTTGGGTCTCATTTATGCAAACAAAAGATAGTTACTGATCCTACATTCTATTTGTGAAATTAGAATAGTTTGATTGAGAAAACATGGATAATTAAGTTATCCTTTCCTGAAAACATGGTTGTTAAAATCGTGATCCGGATCGTAGGATCGTACGATCCTACTTTGCCAAAACGATCTAGATCGTTGTTATAACAGGATTGCAAGTAGGATCGTGTAGGATCGCATGGGATCGTGTAGGATCGTATGGGATCGTGTAGGATCGTATGGTAGGATCGCAAGTAGGATCGTAGATTTTATGATTTTTCACCTTATTTTTAATATTTATCATTTTTATTTTTATTTTTATCTTTTTTTTAATAGAAAGTAGGATCTTACGATCCTCGATCCGGTCCTACGATCTAATCTACCAGACGCTCTCACCGATCCTACTTAGGATCCCGATTTTAACAACCTTGCCTGAAAAGAGAAAGCTTTTATCTGTAATCACGTCCAAAAAAATAAAAAATAAAAAAAAATGGAAGAAGAAGAAGAAGAAGAAGAAGAAGAAAAAGAAGGACAGACAGCAAGACTTCTTTGTTTGGCGATTTGGTTCACCTTGAACTCAGATAATTCTTGTGATCATAATTGCAGTAACAGAATTCATGAAGTGTTCTACTTCATGACATGGACAATGTGATAGAATTTGTTATTTATTTATTTATTTAACAGGCCCTATTTGGTATTGTTTTCATCATTTAAAAAATTCAATAAATAGATTTAAAGTGTTTCATAAAAAATAGGTGCTTACCATTTTTTTTTCCCAAATGTTTGGACGATCAATTTATTATTATTATTATAGCAAAGTTATTTTTGCGTTGTTAGTCATTTGTATAATTGTTCAAATCAAATTGTTGGAAATTGTTAAATTCACAGTTCTTTGTTATGGATTCACAGCCCCGTCTCTGACACAACCCTCTCTCTCATATAACATGCTCCACCATGTGAGAGGGGTGCTATGGATCCGATCTGCCAAAGAAGAGTGAATTTATCAATATCCCAATTTATTGTATCTTGGTGTTCAGATAGTTGCTTGAAAATACTTAGTTATTTTTTTCCTTTTCCTTCCACCTTTCCTCTCTCATTTAGTGTTTTACTGGCAGGCATTCTGATGTCAGCTTGGTTGAGTTGGCAAATGAAACAGTTAAAGAAGATGACAGAGCTGTTTTATTGGAGGGGGGAGGTCTCCAGTTAGCTTCTCCTAAAGCTCGGAGTTCACCTGTCACATCTCACGTTGTCAGGTTAGAAAAAATAGCTGTTTCCATCTTTGATTATTTATGAGAAATATGAACGGGTTAATTTAACATTCTTTATGCTCTTTAACTTTTCAGATTTCTTCTAATGGATTTGGTTGAGTTGGCAAATGAAACAGTTAAAGAAGATGACAGAGCTGTTTTATTGGAGGGGGGAGGTCTCCAGTCAGCTTCTCCTAAAGCTCGGAGTTCACCTGTCACATCTCACGTTGTTAGGTTAGAAAAAATAGCTGTTTCCTTCTTTGATTATTATGAGCAATATGAACGGGTTAATTTAACATTCTTTATGTTCTTTAACTTTTCAGATTTCTTCTGATGGATGAGACTTTCTTGCTAGAAAATCGATTGACACTCAGAGCCATGTAAGTCTCTCATCGTCACAATTTAAAACCATAAGTTTCGGAGCTTTGTAAGTTTGAAGGACATGGTTAGAAAGCTGACTCTCATTTTTCTTCTTATTGTTCTCTCTCCCTACAGATCTGAATTTGGTGTCCTTTTGATCTATTTCTACTTATGTGACCGTACAAATCTCTTTGGTGAATCAAAAAAGGTTTTGCCAATGCCCTCATCTTATAATTTATACTTTTCATTCCGTGAGTTCGTTATTGTCTTCGGTGAAGTATGTGCTAGACCAATTTTAAATCTTAAAAAGAAAAGTTCAATGTGAAAAATATAGAAAGAGGAAAGGGTGGATATCACATTCTTTAACAACTTTGAAATGTTATTTAAAAATATATATATATCCCAGAACTTTACGAGGAAATGAAAGGATTAGCTAGGTCATAACCTGATCCACTTATATGGGCATAACCTAATGAACCAACACTAATAGAAAGGAGAGATAAAAAAAGCAAAATTACTAGTCGACGGACTAGCTGCTATCAGATGCTTCAGTCTCTCTTCTGCTTCCTTGGATGTGTAACCAAACAATTAGGGAGGACGTCACCTCTCCACATAAAATTCACAATGGCCAAGATATACAGTTATTGTTTTTTGTATCTATTTCAGTTATAATTTGGTCCATCTGCATCAAAGTTGTGTCCAATGAGCTTGTCTTTTAACTATCATTTGTTTTTGCAGAGTTACAATCGGGATCTTTTCTTATTTCTCTACTTCCTTCTCATCATAGTTTCAGCAATTACTTCTTTCAAGATTCATCATGATAAGTCACCAATCTCAGGAAAATCCATACTGTATCTAAACAGGCATCAAACTGAAGAGTGGAAAGGTTGGATGCAGGTTAGTCAGTTTTTAAGATGGCATGTCTATTTCTTAGAATTGTCTAATTTTTAGAATTGTCTAATTTATTGTTACTTGTTTTCAGTGTAAAAGAAACAATTTATTTCCTTTGTGTTTTTTTCTAGTGTCTCTTGTGATTTGTTTGGAAGTTTAAGCTGTAATCAATATAATTCCCTCCCGCTCCTTTCAGTGTTTCTCTACCTGGAAACACTTCCTGTCTTGTCTGCATCTTGTAGTCAATCCATAGAAAATATATTGGTAGTTGATAAAGAGAAGTAACTTTGAGATGGGAGATTGCAGTTGGAAATGGTTTGAGAGAGAGAGAGAGAGAGAGAGAGAGAGAGAGACAGAGTCAACAAGTTGCTGAAAGTTTATTTATTGCCCTGCTCTATAATTGGAACTAGGAGCAGTTTGTGAAGGGCCCGGGAATGTTTCCTTCAAGTTTAATTGAGGTGGGATGCTGATCAAATCTTTTGGTTATAGGACCTCCAAACTACACTCTGTCTGAAGTCATTAATCCTGTGAATAAATTAAAGCTCTTTTCAGCCATAAGAATTTTGTTTTCACTTCCTAATCAGATGAAACATCTAGAATAACTTCTCCATGCTTAAATTCAACATTAACTTACCATTCCTTGATGTCCATTTTGTTGTCAATAAGAATCTTCTGGCACCCAAGTTCGTTGGCCGGGTTGAATTGGCTCTGTTTTCTTATTGGACAAATGTAAAATTGACTTGGACTTGCATCTCTTGGAACTTTTCAAAGAGAAAAACACATTTTGCATCTACTCATTTTGTTAATCATCCAAAATTTTAAGTTTTTTCTTTCATCAATGATTCCTAAATTCCAAACTCTAACTACGTTAAGATGCGAGGTTAATTACTCAAACTCACAATGAATTGCCTCTATAACTTGATGTGGAAATTAATTATGATGAGTGAGAGAAGTTTCAGGTAATTTTTTCTAAGTTCTTGGAAGCAGTATGCTTTGAAATTTTAATTTTGTTTTTTCGCTCTATCTAGGACATCTTTGTTTTAACATGAGCTGCCATGTATCCGGTAATGAGTCCTAACACGAAGCCAATTTCTTTCTGGCCTTTACCTTGAGCCTTTTATTGCCACTACCCATTGCTAACGTAAACTCCTAGTTGGTCTCTGTGGATTTAGGTACAGGACAAACTTGTAAAGATTCATGCATTGTGGGAACATATGTTGAGAAGCACAATGCCATTAATTAGTGTTTGTTTAGCTTTATTTTTTAGCTCTGATTTCCAGGGCTTGTTATTTGTGACATCATACATTGCATGCTTTAAAAAAATTTGGTCATTCTTTGTATAGATATTATTTGCATTGCATGTGTCATTGTTGGTGCCTTAACGTTTTCTCTTTTATGTACAGGTACTATTTTTAATGTATCATTACTTTGCCGCAACAGAAATTTATAATGCAATACGGCTTTTTATCGCTGCATATGTGTGGATGACTGGATTTGGGAATTTCTCATACTATTATGTCCGCAAAGATTTTAGCTTTGCAAGGTTTGCCCAGGTACTTCTCGTATAAGTTCAAACATTCATTAAACATTTTTTATCCGAGTTATCTCCATAATTATCTACTTCTGACAGTAATTATTTTTTGCTGGGCAGATGATGTGGCGACTTAACTTTTTAGTGTTCTTTTGCTGCGTTGTCCTTAACAACAGTTACATGTTGTACTACATATGTCCCATGCACACTCTTTTCACTCTGATGGTTTATGGGGCGCTTGGTATTTTTAACAAATATAATGATATTGGGAAAGTCATTGCTGCAAAAATCATTAGTTGCTTTTTAGTTGTTATTCTGATGTGGGAAGTACCTGGAGTGTTCGATCTGGTTTGGAGCCCATTTACTTTCCTTCTTGGTTAGTAACAGCCATAGTTTTATTTTCCACTCTCTTCACCTTGAGTGTTACTAATGTGGAACAATGATGTAACATACAAATGCATTGCAGGATACACTGACCCAGCTCCTTCAAAATCAAATCTTCCTCTCTTGCATGAGTGGCATTTCCGCTCAGGCCTTGATCGCTACATATGGATAATAGGAATGATATATGCTTATTATCATCCAACAGTAAGTTTTCATACAGACCTGAGCCATTTTTCAATTATTCAAAGTAGAAGTAAATATGTGCTTTGATCCTTAAACACTCCAGAGGTGAGGCTGAATTGTAAATATCTTGATGGTTTTTATTTGCTTCTCTCTCTCTCTCTCTCTCTCTCTCTCTCTCTCCCCCTCCCTCCCTCCCTCCCTCCCCCTCCCTCTCCCTCCAATTTCATGTCAGTGACTAAACTGTGGCATTTATTCTTGTAGGTTGAGAGGTGGATGGAGAAACTGGAGGAAACAGAAGTCAAACGTAGGATTTCGATAAAAGTGGCCGTTGCGATTGTTTCCTTAACGGTATTATATCTTTCTTGTAACACAATCCTTGTCTGTTATTATTTGTTTGAAGCAAACATTTCCTTGTAATTTTTTTAGGTGGGATATATATGGCTTGAGTATGTATACAAGCTTCCTAAGGTGACGTACAATAAATATCATCCTTATACCTCATGGATTCCTATCACGTACGCTTTTCTTTCCCTTAAGCTCGGCATTTTAAATATTTGAAAGTTTCTGTTAGTCGTTTACACAATTATTACATCTCTTGTTGATCAGTGTGTACATATGCTTGCGAAACTTGACCCAGAACTTCCGAAGCTACAGTTTAACCCTTTTTGCGTAAGTGTTATTGGACTTTACTTATTTACTCTTTTTTTTCACATGTTCTGTTTATAAAAGTCAACCTTATGCTTTAGACACCATTGTCTGTCAATTGGAATATATATACATATATATAATTATTTGATGATTTGTTTGTGGTTTTGTTTTCTTTGATTCACCAGATGGCTGGGAAAGATCACACTGGAGACCTACATATCTCAAATCCACATATGGTTAAGGTATGCAGAACTTTGAATCACTACTTTCCTTTTATTTACTTAAATGGCTCGATATGATATTGCTTTATTGATATACAGATAATGGATAAATTTATAAAACAAGAAAGTTTTGAGGATTTCTTATCAATTTCAAAATTTTGAGTTGGATCTTTATATGTTAATAAAATGATGTAAGGATTGAATAATTTTTTCGAAGCTTTTCTTGCCGCTCCTTGGAAATAGTGAAATCATAATTTCCAGGTTTGTGCATAAATAATTATACCTGTGTGTCCCAATCATCAAGGTGCCTATTATGCATTGTGCAAATATAGGTTATATCTAGATGTGTATATTTATACTCTCTCTCTCTCTCTGATTTTTACTTGTGCTGTACGTATGCAGATCAGGTGTGCCAGATGGGCAGCCTAAATTTCTACTCTCTCTGATACCAAACTACCCCATGTTGAACTTCATGCTCACCACTTCCATCTATGTTGCAGTAAGTAAAAAAGATATATCATCTTCGGAAAACTCTCGGAGACGTAGAAGTGAATAATGTTGTTTCCTTGTCTGCAGGTTTCGTACAGGCTCTTTGAACTGACCAATAGGTTGAAAACGGCATTTGTGCCAAGTAAAGATGACAAGCGCCTGACGTACAACATCATTGCAGCTGTGATTATCTCAAGCCTTTTGTACACACTGTCTTTTATATTCCTAAGAATCCCTCAGATGCTGGTAAGAGTTTTTCCAAAGCTGATTTCAGTCTTGGCATGCTTTAATAGTCATCAATGTTGGTTGTGTTTTGCTTTCTTCATTTTCATTTTTAGTGGGTTGTTTTTTTTATTTATTGTTTCTTCAAAACAGATCATTTGGAAACAGTTCTCTATACTTTTTGAAAAATGAAAATGGGAAACAAAAACACAACCATAACAGACCCTTATTATGTCATAGTGTTGCTAATTGCATTTCTTTTTTCTTTCAAAAACTCCACAGGTGTGATACTCCAGAATTTACGGACTAGAATGAACAAGTTTCCGCTAATCAGCATTGAGCATATTTGCTCCACTGCAAGTCTTCACTTTCCATCACAGTAACAAAATTTGCAGAGATGATGGATTGTGTTTTATAGTATTTGTTTGAGGAACTACTGCTGTATAGCAAAAAAGGTGGTTGATGAATTCATTCCCTAATTGTGGGATTGTATTTACATGTATGCATTCTCGTTAGCAGATTTTCACCAACATTGTGATTACAAATTATTGTTTTCTCGTGAATTTCCTCCATTAAAGTGATTACTGGTGCAATTTTATTACCTGTCATCAAAAGCATGTTGCATTAACTTGTATCTTCTTTCTTTTTGGGTACATCCAAGAACATCTCATATTTTATTCATAGGCTCTATTTGGATTATGAATTTGAGAAGAATTTTGCATAAGAGAAACAAAAAGATAAGAAAAGTCAATTTATATTTCAGTGGCTTTTTTCTTCCTTGATAAATTTCTTCTCGACTTCTTAATCCAACCACAATTTTAATCCAAACACAATTTTAACCAAGAGAATAAATGGGTTGCTGAGATGCAAAGCTTGAATCCGGATCAAAGATTGGCATTTGAATTTTCACATTTAGATACATTCAAGTACAAATTCCACACCTACTACTCAGAAAGTATGATTCCCAATGAGCACATTCCTCGTGAGAGAGATGAGAGTAAAGAGAAATTTTAGGTGTGAATTTAGAAGCAGCCTTGCATTAAAAACTCATCATAGGGCTGAGGAAGCATGAATAAATACCAAAATTTCACTGTTAGGATATCATTGACACAAATATTTGTGTCCATATGCCAATGTAACACAAAATAGTTGACAAGCAGGGAGTTGGATTTCCCAAGTTAACAAAAATCTAAACTTCTAACAATTTCTATCAAGCCAAACAATTACTTTTAATTAAACTCGAGTACACAAAAGGCGCACACTCAAATGGTTTAACAAGAGTACAAGATGTCAAAAGCTGAAAATGTGTCTTCTCATCTCCTCCTCGCAAAGCCACAGGATAGCAAGTTATTGAAGTCTATGATAGCAGCTAGCAGTGACAGCATGATCTTCTCCTCCATTCCATGTAGGTTGTAGCAGATATGCCCTCAGAATATATGCACAATGTCATAAGCAAATCTTTGTTATGTCAAGGAAAGAAGCAGAACAATACGATTTCAAACCAACTCGTTTTGACAGTGTGTTATGTGGTGTAAATAGGGAGAAATTTACAATGTGCATCTTTTCAATTAGCGTACATTTTAAAAAAAATATGATTATTTGTGATGTGTGTTATGACATTTTGTAGTAAAGTTATAAATAGCGAATTTATGATGTGCACCCTAAAATTAGGAATGATAATGTTATGACATTTTTGTGATTTTTGTTATGACATTTTTCAGTGAAAAAAAGTTATGACTTTTGTAATAAAATAGTTATAACATTTTGAGTTTAAATTATGAAATTTTGTGAAAAAATAATGACAGACATACCATATGCACCTTTTTACGGGTGCACATTGTAACATCTCCCGGTAAATAGACTTTTATGATTTAGGTAAAACCCACATAATTTTGATGGCTTTTGACAGCATCATCCTTGCCTTTCATTTATTTTCTAAGTTTCCTATTTGAAGTCTATGAAAAGTATGAATTATAAAAAGAAGGATACGTCCAGAACAGCACGAAAGACTGCAAAAAAAAAAGAAAAAGAAAAAGAAAAACCAAGACGGTGTTAGCCAATTAACATTTTGCAGGAAATAAAACATAGTAATCAATAAAGCTGCTAAAGTACACATGCATCACCATAAATTATGTCCCCAAAATTATTCCACTTGGGTCCTTAAGCTAGGCCAATTTTATGAGATATTGCAATCTTCTAACCCAAAACAAGTATGATACATGACTATAGTAGGAAGAACCACAAGTGAAACAAGTGAATTTTAAATCATTTCAGCTCACATATAAGAATTGGCATTAAGGCCTTACCATCAATGTACGAATTGACTAAACACATTGAAAATAAAGGTTCCATCATGCACATTATTGATGATGACGTTGTTATTTAATCGATCTAATAAAACTAGGGTACATGATAAAGAGAAATTTGGATAGAAGCTCTAAAATCAAAATTATTTAAGATAAGTAGGAGTAAAGATACGTATTTGAATGAAGCACTTGAATCTAAAGGATTTAGATAAGCAGAACTGAGACAGAGTACATAGAGTGTAAATTTAATACAATAACAATGGAAGCAGAGGAGAAGTGAAGATTGAAAACCAAGAACTACCTAAAGAGTAAACATTTCGTTATTTAAGATCGATTATCACAGCAGTTGGGGAGATTGGAGCGGATGTGGTCTATAGAATTAAGACGGAATGACTTAAGTGACAGAGTGTGTTTAGGATACTGTACGAGTACCTACAAGACTAAAAAGGAAATTATGTTATATGGGTCGGAATGTTGGGTACCTAAAAAACAACATGTAGATAAGATAAGTGTTGCTGGGATGAACATATAAGAAACAACATGTAGATAAGATGAGTGTTGTTGGGATAAGGATGTTAAGGTGGATGTGTGGCAAGACTAGAAAATATAGAATTAAGAATGAGTATATTTGAGAATAGCTAGGAATAATACTCATAGAAGATAAGTTCAGAAAGAATAGATTGAGATGGTTTGGTCATATACAACGGAGACCAACAGTGGGAATAGTGAAGAGATGCGATGCAGTAACGGTAAATGGAATTGTTAAGGGAAGGAGTAGACCTAAATTGACATGGGTTAGTATAGTGAATAGAGATATGAACATTAATTTGACTAACGAAATGACCTTGGATAGAGTCGAGAGAAGAAGGATTCATGTAGCCAACCCCATTTGATGGGAATTGAGGCGAGGCTTGGTTTGGTTTGGTTAGGAGTAAAGGGGAATTCATAGTATGTAATTTTAGTAGAACAAGAAATACATAAGAGGAAGTAGCAAAGACCGTAGGCCAGAGGTACAAAAAAAGTGAAAGAACAAGTCACTGAACACAAAAACAAGTCACAAACTGGACATAGAATGTATATGAACGGATAAAAAATTTCAAAAGTGGACCCAACTACAAACCTCATAAAATCTTTTCCATTCATGTGCATTATGTGTTCATTTACGTGTTTGATTTCTATAATGAAAGTGAAAATTTTAGCTATCTACAGACTACAGTCAATTAAACCTAAGGATAGATTGGTGATGATCTATGTTACACGGACTCGGGTACGGGTATCGGGTGCGTATCTAGGAGTCGGACACTTTAAAATTAAAAGTCGACACGGGTACCTCCGAAATTTCAAAGAGTCCGTGTAACATAGGTGATGATGTAATTCAAAGAATTAAAGAAGGATGAAATAAGCAGAGGAGTGTTTTTTGATGTATTATTTAATGGGCGTGCACCTATGAAACTTGGAGGAAACCATTCTACAAGAAGAGTATAAGACTAGCAACGTGGAGCAAAATGTTAGGCAACTAAGAACCAGCATGTTCATAAACTGTGCTAGGCTGAAATACAGTTAAGATGGATGGTAAAAATAAGCAAGGATAAAATTAAGAATTCGCAAGTTTGTGAGATGGTAGAATTGGCATTCATTGGAAACAAAATCAAAGCAAATCGATTGAGACGGTTTGGCCATGTGCAATGAAAAAAATAACTACATCAGCAAATACAATTGAATCTTGAACAAAAGACTTTCAATAGAGGAAGAATATATTAAGGTAATTTTATGTATGTATGAAATCCTGGGAAAAATAAATGAAAAATTTCAATAAGAAATAAACTTGAACTAATCAATAAATAGTAGAGAGTGTACCATAAGCCCGCCCAAAATGCCATCAAGTATAATCTGGTTCCAGGAATCAAAATATGAATGGATGGAAAACCCTGCCTTTGCTATGAGTCCTACTGAAGTAATTGCCATGACAAGAAAATAAAAGATAAATCCATTCAAGCCAGTAAATCCCAAAATTCCAGCAATGACTCCACCCATAATAGACATAAATGTTCGGCTGCACAAATAAAGAAACCTCAGGTTTAGCATCACAGCTCAAATATTTAATTTCACAAGTTAGTGAAGGAATAAGAAAATTGCAAAAAAAATAATGAAGTACAATTAAACATGTATGTTTGGTTCTCAATCAAAATTGAAGTCAATGACTTCTTAGATTTATGCAGAGGACGAGATCTCTCTCAAATCATAGCTTTTCTTAATGCCTTGTTCTACATTATTCACGCATGGGAAGGATGTAATGAAAGAAAAGAAAGATGGGTGGGGGGTAGGGTGAACTCATTGTCATACTTCATATTCCTAAAGTTTTAAATAAGATTTAAGGAAATGGAACTCTGCTTTCTTTGGGCTCAAGACATGGCTCCATGAGAAGTATAATCACAGATCAGACAGAGTTGGCTTACATTAGGGAAAGCAGGTGCACAGGTACAAGGCACATTGTAAGTGTGGTTAGCATCACCTAAAAGGTTCTACAAACATATCTGTAACTGGACTTTGTACAGCAAGAGCTGTGTCCATTGGCCTTCTATGTCAATAATCAACAGTTTATAGAGATGACATAATGCAATTTCGAACAAGTTCCCTCTTATTTACCACATCTGCAAGCAGCTAATCTAACCTGCAAAACCTAGCATGATTAATGTTTGCAAAATCTAGTACCCATGATAGCCATATTAATCTAACTGCCCAAATCCAATGCATCTTCTCTAAAGATGACTGCCAAACCCATAATTCCATGTATTCCAGCCACCAACTTTTTTCCATCTTTCAAGGTAGAGTTATGACAGCAAAGGCAAATATCTTGTAAATGACGTAACAAATTTGACGCTAATATCATGTTGGGTAGTGTGGATCCTAATAAGTACTGGACACTAACCACCTGACTGTAGATCCACAACAAGACTAACGCTTTTCACATCACAATGAAACCACAACGACCGTTGTTGTAGTTCCATTATGGGTTGAACCACATAAATCATTGTATTCTTGTGTGTTTGATTATGGTGTATTGATTCCTAACATACCATACCATACCATACCTTTAACCTAGTAAGTTGATACCTTCACATCATCACATATGCAAACTACAGGGGGGAACCAACCAATTCACACGGGACAACCAAATGTTGTCAATGATAGTTGTAAATGTCAAAATCGATAATACAAAAATAAAATATTATCTATTTGCCCAGTGCCAGCCAAGTTGTCTCCATTTATTTTTCTTTGCTCATCATGAAGAATGGACAATAGCAGGGAGGTGTAGAAACAAACCTGTAATAGACAGCTTTCATGTTGTTCTGCATATTCTCAGCATTGAAGGTTGGGATATCATTCACAGCCTCACTTGATTTCTTCTCAGATGAAACTGAATCATCATGTCCTGCCATAGCTTCTTCTTTCTGTAATTCTATTCAAGAACCTAGCAATAACAAGATAATAAAAATAAATAATTTAAAAAATAAAACAAAAAACCCAATTCAACCCATCATCAAATTTTGAATTTCTCATTAAAAAAAAAAAACCCAATACAACCCATCATCAAAATTTTGAATTTCTCATACAACAGAAAGTCACTGTTCGAATTAGACCTCTCAAACCTCAGTCAGTCTTATCAGTGTACCGCATAAAGTTGCAATTTTAGAAGAGAAAAGTAACAGATCTGAGAATTAGGAGCAGTTTCAAGAAACAAAAGTAATTGTTTCAAGTCATCAATTTTTCAGAAACAAACCAATCAATACAAATCAAGAAAAGCTAAGAAAGGTACGAAAAATAAACAACGAAACATATGGGTATATAGATATGTGTGTATATATGATTTACGTTATGATCTTACCAGTGGGATGAGATATAGAAGAATCGAAGCCCCTTTTCACAAAATCGATTCAGGACTGCACAGACACTGGAAGACCCTCCTGACTGCTTTGCTTATATCTCTATCTGGTTCGATGTTAAAACGGGTACAGCCCGCTTCAGATTCAACATCGAATCAGACCAGTCAAAAGGGGTATAACCCGATTGATAAATTTAAGATTTGAGAATTATTCGGTACTAAAATAAAATATAATTTATTTATTTATTATTTATTATTTTTTTTTGGTGATTTTTCCAACGTAACGTTAGGGAGATGAATATTTCTTTTACCATCATCATCAGAAAGTCTATGGCACTTATCATGAATTTCAGATTAACGATATATATTAAATGTTATTATTGTAGAGTCACACTTTAAATAAATATTCATCATTGATATAAAATTTTTAAGATGTTTTAAGGTGTTTTTTTTTTTTTTTCTCTCTCTCTCAAATTGTAGCATTGTTGTTTTATCATATTTTGGCTTGGTTTGGCATCTACTATATAATCCATCTTTTTATCTTTTTTTCATCACATCACCTCTCTACTTTTCTGCACATCTTTTCGTAAAAAGACAAAAAGTACACTTTTTTAGGACACCCCAAACCAACCCTTTGTATCTTGTATGGAACATACACTTGAACTTGATAAAAAATATATATATATGGTCATTCTAACACATTTGTTCTTTTTAAACTTTTAAGGAGGAGATTTATTTTTATATTTTTTACTTTTTTATTTTTATTTTTTTACACTTAGATTGATGAGTGACGCTAACATTAATTGATAAATACGTCAACTCAGAGTATTTGACTATTAATTCTCCATTAATTTCTCCATTTATGTTATGGATTCGAATCGTGTTGACCTAATCTCACTCCTTGATTAATTCGAGGGTTAAAAAACTATAACATAATGTACCTATGGATACGAATCTAGTGATGTTATATGCATTAATTAATATATTAATTAGTGTATCAAAATTAATTATAATATTATTATTAACCATACTCATTAATTACATTACAAATATAAAAAATCTCTTAAATTATATCACATACACTAATTAATACATATAGCATTATTCCACCAAAGATGTTGAAATGCCCTAGCAACAACATTAATATCATCACCATTGTAGCCGGCCATGGCAATGGCATTGTTTTTCTATTTTATTTTTATTTAGATAAATTATAAATGAAATTCTTGAGATTTGATTAAAATACGAATCGCCCCTTATGATTTTAAAAAATACATTCCACTCCTAAGGTTTCTAATTTCATAACAAATCGTCTATTTTATTATTAAATCATAAAGTCAATTAACAATTTTTAATAATGTTAAAAATATGTTTCAGTTAATAATTTAGGTAATTTTATTATTGTATAGGAGAATAATTATGAATTTTATTTTTTTAGTTAATTCTGTTAAATAAAATTCTAATAAGAGGGTATTTGTAATTTTCCAAAACACATGAATAATCTGTATTTTAAACAAATCTCAATGATATATTTTATTTTTATGAGGCAATGACGTTTTTATGAGTATATATATATATATATATATAATTATATTTGCATATCTAAGAGAAAAAATATAAAGTACGTTATGATCTTACCAGTGGGATGAGATATAGAAGAATCGAAGCCCCTTTTCACAAAATCGATTCAGGACTGCACAGACACTGGAAGACCCTCCTGACTGCTTTGCTTATATCTCTATCTGGTTCGATGTTAAAACGGGTACAGCCCGCTTCAGATTCAACATCGAATCAGCCCAGTCAAAAGGGGTATAACCCGATTGATAAATTTAAGATTTGAGAATTATTCGGTACTAAAATAAAATATAATTTTTTTTTTTTTGGGGGCGATTTTTCCAAAGTAACGTTAGGGAGATGAATATTTCTTTTACCATCATCATCAGAAAGTCTATGGCACTTATCATGAATTTCAGATTAACGATATATATTAAATGTTATTATTGTAGAGTCACACTTTAAATAAATATTCATCATTGATATAAAATTTTTAAGATGTTTTAAGGTGTTTTTTTTTTTTTTTCTCTCTCTCTCAAATTGTAGCATTGTTGTTTTATCATATTTTGTATCTTGTATGGAACATACACTTGAACTTGATAAAATATATATATATATATGGTCATTTTGAACACATTTGTTCTTTTCAAACTTTTAAGGTGGAGATTTATTTTTATATTTTTTACTTTTTTATTTTTATTTTTTTACACTTAGATTGATGAGTGACGCTAACATTAATTGATAAATACGTCAACTCAGATTATTTGACTATTAATTCTCCATTAATTTCTCCATTTATGTTATGGATTCGAACTGACCTAATCTCACTCCTTCATCAATTCGAGTGTTTAAAAACTATAACATAATGTACCTATGGATACGAATCCAGTGATGTTATATGCATTAATTAATATATTAATTAGTGTATCAACATTAGTTATAATATTATTATTAACCATACTAATTAATCACATCACAAATATAAAAAATCTCTTAAATTATATCACATTATCAATTGATATACTAATTAATACATATAGCATTATTCCACCAAGATGACTAAGATGTTGAAATGCCCTAGCAACAACATTAATATCATTGTAGCCGGCCATGGCAATGGCATTGTTTTTCTATTTTATTTTTATTTAGATAAATTATAAATGAACTTCTTGAGATTTGATTAAAATACGAATCGTCCTTTATGATTTTAAAAACTACATTCCATTCCTGAGGTTTCTAATTTCATAACGAATCGTCCATTTTATTAATAAATCATCAAGTCAATTAACAGTTTTTAATAATGTTAAAAATATGGTTCAGTTAATAATTTAGGTAATTTTATTATTGTATAGGAGAATAATTATGAATTTCATTTTTTTAGTTAATTCTGTTAAATAAAATTCTAATAAGGGGGTATTTGTAATTTTCCAAACTACATGAGTAATCTGTATTTTAAACAAATTTTATGAATATATTTTATTTTTATGAGGCAATGACGTTTTTATAAGTATATATATATATATATATAATTATATTTGCATATCTAAGAGAGAAAACAAATCATGTATTACCGAACCAAATAAAGATCTCTTATTACCTTTTATGTTTTATTCTCTGTCCCTTTACATTCTATTAGTTTATGAAATTGTCCATATCAACAAAGATGATATTATAAATCTATCAGATTCAAGAGGACATAAAAGGTCCATAGAAATCGATAAATGATCTCGATTTGACTAAATCTTTATATATAAGGAAATAAATAATATTCACTTGGTTACTATATAAATCTCTTAATTGTAATTCTAAACTTAAGCAGTTGCTGCTATATGTGTACATATAACATTAAAATCATAATTAGGATTGACGAGAAAGCTTAAACAATAATTAGAATTTTATTATTATATGTATGCATATACATATATGATATGTGGTCATTTATGTTTGTTTGGTTAAAATGAATTGTTTGCTTGGCATATAAGCAAATTATGCTCTGAAATGGTCAATTTTTAAATTATATGTAAAAAAAAAATCTCAATTTTAAAATAGAGAATTTTTTTAAAAGAAAGTGAAATTTCACACAATGATCTATCATTTTTACCATAATGGAAGAATCATACTCATTACATTCCACTGTGTTACATGATACTTAAGTTAACACACTAATGAAGCTTATTGACACCAACGTTTGCTAGTTTTAAGAATTTTGAAAATAGAGGATTCAGTTCAATGCCTTTAGTAGCTCCTACTCATTTGAAGCTTCATCATTATGCAGATGGTAGATGTGATTTGGCAATTCTACCATCAGCTCCCTTAGGGTAAAAGCCACCGGGGACATGCTCATCTCCGCTGCTATATATAATCCGTAATATCTCTTCTGGAGTTCTGTCATATCCAACAGAATTTTGATCCCCAGCGAGAACATTACCCTTAAGCTTTCCTTCGGCTCCTTGGAAAGTTGGAACGATAAGGCCTTCGTCTTTCACGCCTGCATTTCCCAACTTATTTCGTAGCTTTGAGATGCGGTTGGTGAATTTTGCCACCGTGATTCCGTATGGCTGCACCTTCTCCCTTGCCCTCTCATAAAGAAGTCCTCGAATAACTGCATCTTGGCCCGACTCTACGGCCAAAAGCCCAGCCACTAGCTGATACATATACATAGCAAGCAGAAAAAAAAAAGTTAGTTTCATAGATTATTGGATGAGTTTTATTGATCACTACATGAGTTTTTTTGGATATGATGGATTTTATATGTATTTATTTTATGCATCGGGATAAGAAGTGAAGAAATAGGTAAAATTCATACAATACTAATTCATTATTTTAAATATCATTGACACAGTTAACTCATAAGCTATATATATATAAAATTGTTTTTGAGTTGGTAATTTTAAAAAATTCACAACTGCATCATCCAATTCTCAATTGATTGTTATTCAGTACACACCGGTACACGATGGACACTAATTCATATGGCAGTTTCTTATTGAGATTGCAGCATATATACATACCCTTTTGGAAATGGGGCTTTGGAGTTTTGGATTTGCACCAACATATCCAGTGAGTCCAACATAGGGAACAACATAGGATGCAAGAAGAAAGTTGAGTTCATTAGCATATGGATCAAAAGCTGGATTCAATGCCCTTCCAAATGCACTATTCATCACATTCCCAAAAGCTTCTGCACTCAGATTCAGCAGTGGCCTTGGAAATCCTTTTACTGTGTTCTGGATGGCCCTGCATTTATAAGATGATCAAGCCCAACGCATCTAGAAAGTGAAAGAAAACAACACTCGGTTTGTTTTATTTAAAAAAAAAAAAATCTACATTTTATAGCATTTGGTACAACAAAAACAAAAGTCAACAGCAAATGTTTATGTGATCAATAAAAAACAAATTTATTTAGACAAATAAATAAATAAATTCAACTTTTGAAAAAACCACACTATCATCATTTCTACTATCCTGCCACCACCATCACCTCCTCCACCCCACCATACCACTATCCTTCCAACATCACCACCTCCTCCACCACCCTTCCACCCCACCACCACCATCACCACCCACCACTTCCTCTGCCACTCTACCACCCCTACCACCGCTG